TGCTTCTCTGACAGCAGATCCTCCCCAGGCAGGCCTTGCCATGAGCACAGACCCAGCAACATCTTCACTGCGGCCCATGAGAGCCCTGAGCTGGAGACACCAGCCCAGCTGGTTCTCACCCTGATCCATAGCGATCAGTGGTCAGCTAGTAGGTGTGTTGCTGAAGGCTGCCAGGGTTGGGGGCTGCTTGTTACTGCAACAATGGTTAACTAACACATTCCCTCACTTCCCTTTCCCCCTCACTCTCATTTCCGTGGGGTTGGCACCCCCACAAAGCCTTAGCAAGTGAAATTTTGCCTTGGGCTTTGTTTTCCAGGGAATCAGGTCCCTATCTTTCAGCCCCTGGGGTCCTCCATATTGTACCAAAGAAACAGTATGTTGATTTCAAAGTCAGAAACAGCCATTCCTAGATCCTGTAGATTCCAACTGGCTTCTCCCAAGTGAGGTTTCTGCCTTAGACCACTGGGGTCTGATAGAATCATGCTACCAATGTGATGGGTTCTTCTACCAGGTCTGTACGTGTGTGGCGTTGCTGGGACTTCAAGGATCCCTGCAGCAGCCCACAGCACCCCCAGGGAGAGTCGTGAAACCAAACTCCAGACCAGAAACTAGAGAGACCCAAATTATGGATTCTGCACCTATTGGCCACATTCCTTCCACCCTATGACCAAGATGAGCTCTTTCCAGAGGAAAAGGAAGGCCCGGCTGATTGTCCAGCTGGAGGGGCGGTGGGGTGGCAGTGGGCCCGGCTTCCTGTTGCCTGTGGCTCTTCTTCTTCTCACTCCTACAGGTGGCTTCTCCATAGTCCACTAAGTATTGTGTCTGCACAAGGCTCCCCGAAGTTGAGCAGGGATATGACTTAACATTAGGAACTTAACATTAAGCCATTTCGATTCAAATCAGGGCTTTATTAGGATTTGGGGGGATGCTGTTGAAGGCTGTCTGGGTCCGACCTGGCTCTGTTGATGTAGGAGGTGACTCTGGTTCTACACAAAGCCTTCCCCTCCCTAGTAAAATAAGATCATAAAAGAAACTCGACAAATGGCACTCACGTCCCACTCCAGTTTCACTCTGGAAGAAGAAAGTGGATTTTGATAAAAGGAGATGGGCAAATTCTGAAATTCTCTTTCCAGAAGCTTGGAGGGGGACTTCTGCTCTCCTGGGGCCACCTGTGAACCTCAGACCTGGCTCAGGAAGGGGGCAGCCTTGTCCCTCTGAGGTCAAGCTACTGCCATAATGCCTTTCTGGAAGACTCTGCCTGCATCAAAGGCCTGTCTCAAAGAGCATCTCCAGGAAATGCGCCGTGTGGTACGCGCAGCAAGGAGCCGGTCCCCAGTGTGGCTGTATGCTGAATCCCTTTTGCTATTAATAACCCTGCAGCCGAGTAATTAAGCAGTGAGTACATTCCAGAGACCCATCAGGATGGATTTTTGGCTCAGATCTTCTACTTAGAGTTGCACCAATTTCAGATTTCAAGATGCTCAAACCCTCAAGATGGCTGAAGAGGGTCCCCATTTCCTTCCATCTTAGAATACAATCACCTCAGGCTCCTCTTGTGACCTTTGGCCATTTGCTGCCCTGATTTGCTGTCTTGTGGCTATCTAACAGCTTCTCCATCTGGACAACCAAGGGGTCAGCACAGCTGGGATGGACCTGGCCAGGATATCCTGAGCCTCCCAGCGGTCTAAATCACAGTGGGAGCAGACACAGGTCATGGAGATCAGAAGTGGCCCTTTCCCTGTGATGGTCAGAGAGGGAAGAGCCACCAAGTGCACAGCTACAGCCGCAGGGCAGGGAAAGGTGGGAGCTGCTCATGGCACCCGAGAGGTGTCTCGTTGGGGAGTTCACCCCTAGGGCAGAGAGGCAGCAGTGTGCGCGAAATGGCTTGAGAATGTGAGCAGTGTCACTCCTGGGCTTCCACCCTGGGATTTGTCCCTCTGAAAATGGGACCCTAGCACCCACCTCCTAGGGGTTGAAATGAGATGGTCACATATGGCTGTCAACACAGGGCCTAGCACATCCTGAGTGACCAATAAGGGTGACCATCACGATCACCCCACTGTTCCAGAGCAGCTCCTCTGAGCTCCAACACTGCTCTGAGAGGTGGGTGGGGGTGGCTTTTACATTTTTTTCTACTTCACAGATGAAAAAAAAAAAAGGCCCCAAAGATGTAGGGGACTGGTTTGTTGGAGGCCAAGATACAGGTCTCTCAACCCTTCAAATTCACCTCCCTCTGCCATGCACGCCCTGTTGAGCGGGTCCAGTGTGGTGTTCAGCAACTGGAGGCCCCTCTCTGGAGCCTCACTGCCAGTCCTTTCTCCTGTGGGATTCAGGGAATTGAGGCCTCTGTGGCGTAGTCACTTGCCTGGCCTCCGAGAGGAACTGCTTGAAGGGGAACAGCGTAGGCCACTTGCCAACTCGCCCTGGCTGCTCTCCTGGAGTGGTGAAGGCGATCCCCCACTCACTGTCTTGCAGGGTCACAGTGAGAAAAAGTGCTGGCCAAGCCGCTCTCCCACTGTCTTGACAGGGTCACAGTGAGGATGAATGCTGGCAAAGCCACGCTGGTTGGTGGGAAACCGAAACCATGAGACCCTTTTTTATGTAACTGGGACTTTTCATTTTCATGCTTATGTTCCTGACAGGAGGCATGAGCACGTTAAATGCCAAGCAAATTAAATTTCAAATGGCTAGAACATAACAGGTAGTTCATGCCTTGAACGCTGTTCTACTACCCCTCAGCACATCAAGGACAAAGTAGAAGGCTGTTCTTCTACCTCAGCACATTGAGGACAAATCTGATAATGGACAACAATCATCCTCTGAAAGGTCATGAGAATTTTAGGCACCACATTGATTGTATCAACTAGAACCCAAGCCCGTATTTCCGGCTTCTTAGAAAACCTAATCATTATGCTTATTTTACAAAGTTCACCCCATGTAGTCTCGTTTTTGATTAAGGAAAGTTATATTATACACTTAGGAAAGTTAAAACATATAAAGATATATTCTTCTCTTTTTATAAACCCTTTTTTACTTTACATAGGGATATATGATGAGCATAATTAATATTGGTGGAAAGTGGATTGATGTTTAGAACTTACTTTCTATTGAGAAAGATTATAAAGATATGAGAACTAGTGCCTTTCTGGAAGACTCTGCCTGCATCAAAGGCCTGTCTCAAAGAGCAATTCTTTGATTGACTGAGAATCAAAGAAACTCTTTGAGAAATCAGCTCAACCAGTTTTATGAGAATAAATTTAGGAATTAATTAAAATAGCTTTATAAGACACAGTTTTAGAATAATGTTAGAAATATTATTTTATTTAGATTCTTAAGTTTAGAAATTCTTAAGTTTTTAGTTGTATGGGTTTCTGATATGTTTTAAGAATGATTTATAAACTTTAGGATGTTTTAAGTATAAGATTTAAGGGGACTTTTTTAGATGGGAATTTTAGATTAGAAATAAAGTACAAGTGTACTTTAAACTTAAAGGTTAATGATTGGTTAGGAGACTTAGAGTCTGGTAGTTTGGCATTAGTTAATAAGAAAATAGCATATCTTGGGGAAAATAGTAAATCTTGGGAAAATCTGAAAAATGTAAATTAGTGACGTATTTTATTAATGATTCTGTACTTCTATTTTTTATTTTTATTTTTTTAAAATATTTTATTTTTTAGTTGTAGTTGGACACAATACTTTATTTATTTTTATGTGGTGGTGAGGATCGAACCCAGGGTCTCACACGTGCTAGGCAAGTGCTCTACCACTGAGCCACATCCCCAGCCCCCGATTTTGTACTTTTAATAATTAAATAACTAAAGGTCATATCCTGGAAAAATGTAAATTAATGTTACATTTTTTTGTACCCCCAATCATGGTTAAGGAAATGTCATGTCTTGGCAAAGTTTTAAAGTGTATAATCAATGATGTATTCTGAATTTCTAATGATGAGAAAAATTGCAATAAAAGATGACCCAGAGAAAGCTGCATTAGAGCCTCTCTCTGGAGATTGCTCCAATGGAAGGATCCTGTCCCATCTTTTCGCCGACGCCACTCATCCTTCAGGACTCCCTGGACCCTCTAGGGCAGGACGCCGGCACTGGAGAGGACGGGCCGCCGCAAGCTCCCAGCAGTCTACAAGCAGCAAGGTGGGGAGATGAAGAGACGCCTCCTCCAGGCCTGTCCCCTGCACACCTGGGGGGGGGGCCTGGGGGACGTGAAGGAGGAGCAGCTCTGGAGAGGACGAGTGCGTCCCCCCACTCCTCTGCCAGCGGAATTCTTGGAACCTTCATCGCATTTGTTCCCAGCTGACTCAATACTCTAAAAAATGACTCCCTTTCACCTGACCGCTGAGAAGGACGCCCAGGGGTGAGGGCACCGGTCTGCAGCCAGAGGTCCGCCCCCAGCCGATGAATCAGGTGTGAAGGCAGCCGAGCGCCCGCCTGCACTTCCTGGGCCCCAGCCCCTGGCCGCCTGCCATCCCCTCCTCTCCCACCCTTATTTGGAGCCCCTGACACTGAGCCACCAGCAGACAGGGGCAGTTGGGCCCCGGCCAGCGGCCACCCTCTGCTTCCCGCGTGGGTCCCCGTTGCTGAGGAGAAAGAATCCCGGGGCGCGGCGGGGAGATAACCAAGGACTCTTTTTTGCTCTTCTCACACCTTTGAAGTGGGGGCCTCTTGAGGCAAATCAGCAAGAATGTGGCTCGTGCAGCGGAGGATCTGGGGGGCTGCGGGAGCGGCTCGAGGCGCAGGGGCTGTGACAGCGCTGCTGGCTGATAACTTTAAAAGGGCATCTTCGGCGGGCTCCTCACTCTGCCGCTTTATCGCTGCAAGTGACAGAATGGGGAGGTTCTGGCCCTGCTGCATGCTCAGACGGCAGGGGCTATAAAAACGGGAGGCGCTGGGCAGCGGAGACAGTGACGGATGCAGGCCAAGGAAGGGGAGCCAGAGAGGAGGGAGAAGAGGCAGCAAACACCCCACCGCCCCTCGACCGCCGCCAGCATGGGCTCCTTCTCCGCCGTCGCCGTGAGCCTCCTCCTCTTCCTGATGTTCCAGCTTCCAGGCCAAGCGGGAGCCAAGCCCGTGTACAGCGCCGTGTCCAGCGCAGACCTGGCGGATTTCAAGGTAGGGCCAGGAAGGAGGTACAGCCTGGCACCAGGGGGCTTTCCAGTGCTGGGCTGGTTCTTTTCGATTCTCTCCAAGTCAACGAGACCCCTCCCTTCCCCCTGTATTTTCCTTTTGTGAAGAATTTGCTAGACCGTTTGGAGGAGAAGATGCCTTTAGAAAATGAGGTTCCCTCACGAGTCCTAGGCGAGCAGAATGACGAAGCAGGGCCAGCTGTCCCTGACGAGACTTCCTGGACCGGGGAGGTCAGCCCAGACCAGGCAGATGGGGCTGGCCCCGGGCGGGACCCCTGGGACTCTGCTGATCGCTCTGCCCTCTTGAGAAACAAGCCGACGGCCCCTCGGAGCCTGCCGAGATCCAGCTGTTTCGGGGGAAGGATGGACAGGATTGGAGCCCACAGTGGCCTGGGCTGTAACAGCTTTCGGGTAAGAGGATCTGGAGTTGGGAACAGGATGGGAAGAAGATGGGGTCGCATTGCCATAGCAGTACCAGCAGGGGACTCCTACAGGAAGGGGACCAGTGTAGAAGATAACTCCTTCTGAGTTTCTACCCCGACTTGGGGGGTGCCCCACAAGTCTCAGAACAATGTCATCACACTCAGCTGTAGCCTGCTGGAAAAAATGCTTAAAAAAAAAAAAGTTACTACCACAGCATTGAACAATTAAAATACAGGGTCAAGTCCCCTTTGCTCTGCTAATTAGCAATTCGTGTTCTTCCCAGAACTGCAAGATCCTGCAGGAGTTAGGTGACATTGACAAGATTGCTCCTCTGAGCTCAATGGAACTCAGAGATCACTAAGCTGGAGGGGGCACGGGGGCGAGGGAGTAGCTGCCCGAAGGTCAAGTAAAAGGTTTGACACTGTCCTATGATGCTGACCCTCCAGTAGAGCCAGATCGCCAAGCCGAATGTCTTTCTCTTTGTAGTACGGAAGATAACAGCCTGGCCGGGCAGACTGCAGGAGACCCTCGACCCGGGGTCTCACCAAGTTTGGTCTCATCGCATTGCCACTGAGTCGGGATGAGCACACTGTTGGAGCTTCAACTTCCTGTCAACATTTCTCACATCTGATGCTAAATGTAGATCAAGTGGCTTAGCTGTGGCTCCTCTGCCGCTCCCACCCCATGCGTCACTGTCAACCCCACCTACTACTGAAAGCCTTGCAAAACCAATAAACTTCAGCACCATGGACAGAAGCCGAGCCCCGGGTGTAGTTTTTTTTTTTTTCCCAGTTTCCAAGGGAGAACAATGGAGCCCAGTAGGCCGTTGTCTGAGATGAGAATGCCGTTTCTTTCTTCCTCTTTCACCGCCCCCCTTTATTTTTGGTGGGAGGTGGGGACCTCAAATTGCAGCCTCCAACCTGCTCCGCCTCCTCAACAGCCTCAGCCCCAGAACCCAGAAAGGCCCTGAGACTGAAAGGGCACTTCCTTTACTCTTCTCCAGACTTGCTCACATTCAGGGCATTGTTGATTGAAAATAAAACTCACATACCTCTCCATTTCATATCCTGGTTACAGCTACCGCAGCTGCACTCAACAGACAACACTTGCATCCCTACTGCTTATGGGTTACAGTATTTGTTTTGTTTAGGGCACATTTAGAAAATGAGGCTATTAGCTACGTTTTATCTGATTCATTTAAGAGAGTTCACTGCGGCAGCCAAGCCAATCACACTTCTAGCTTGGTTCAGAGCTGGCTGTGCACTGGGTTCAACGGCTGAGCAAAGTGAAGAAAGGTTTGCTGTGCCGAGAGGCCGCGAGGGGCCACCAGGGCCACCAGGGGCCATGAGGGGCCACCAGGGGCAGTGAGTTCCCGTGCCTTTTGTGAACTACCTACCACAGCATAGTCTTTTCTCTTCAGGCCCAAGGGGCCTGGACTTGTGGATGGCACCACATGCAAGCTGCTGGGGAGGAGGCAGTGTTGTTGTGTCTACATCTGGAAAGGGTCTTATCCTAAGCAGGAAACTCCACCTTAACCAGGGCGCGGTATTCCACTGGCCCCCTACCTGTCGCCCCAGCCACCAGCCCTTCTCTGCAGATTCTGGTACTCCAGCGAGCCCCTTACCCACACACCCGCCCCTTGGGGCCTTATTTCTGCTGCTCCCTCCAGCCAAGGCCTGTTACCTGGGCCCCCCAAAGACGTGCTCCTCACCCCGAGGCTTGTTGAGATGCCACTTCTTCCCTGACACCATGTGCCCAGTAGCCCCAAGTCTTTTTACAGAAAACCTTTTGTGACTATTATGCCGGGGTTTGGCGTGTGACTGTGAGTGCCAGGAGGGGGAACACTCTGCAGTCCTCGCATCTTGGACGCTCGTGACTGCTGGCCACGTTGTCTTGGTCTGGTACAAACTGGGAAGAGGAAACCAAGTAAATGTGCCCCTGCCAGAGGGAAGGGGAGGCCCAGAGTGAACGGTGGTAAGAGGCAGGGGTGAGGGAAGAGCTCGAATCATGTCCCAGATGCTCCTTATTTGGCCTTCAACTACAGGAGGGCAGAGAACCAAGCAGCACAGAGTGACTCAGGAGGACAAGCATAGAGCGGCACAGTATCGCTCCACGCCTGGCTCTGAGGCCGGGCACCAGGAGTCGGGTTGCTAGGAGGGAAAGGGAGGCAGTCGGGCACCCTCCAGAGGTGTCGCCTGGCGAGGGAGCGCTGGCTGACTGGAACTGACCCAAAATGGCAAACACACAAGCAGAAAGTCCCTGAACTTGGAGAAGGCAGGGGTGAGGGGTGGGTGCAGGCGCCAGACTGGGCTGTCACTGGTGGCAGGGCGGCTTGGGGCAGGACGTGGAGACAGTTCTTGCAAAACAAAAAGCAATTGAACCAAGAGTAGTGACAGATGGCAGTGCCAGATGCCACCCGGGGTGGTGACATCCACAGATGCTGAGCTGGCTTGGTTCTTCTGGGCAGAGTTCTGAGGAGTCCTTCTGTGGCAAGTCCCTAAACACAACACTGGCAGGAAAAGATGAGCACCTGGGGTGGACTGGTGTTCCTGTGAGAGAAGGACCAGAGGTGACCAGGTGACGTATGCAGGACCTAGGTGCTTACAGAGGCAGTGGGTGGCCTGATCCAGCTGAGCCCACCGTGGGGGTGAAGAGGCGGCCGGGCAGCCACAGGAGCTGAGGCCGAGACACCTCCCAGCACCCGAACACTGGCCTTTCAGAAAGAGAGGGAACAAGCTAAAAGCCAGCACCCTCGAAAGAAAGAGAGCGGGAGTCAGGCTACCGGAGACAGGCAGACGTTTTACTCTGACATGTTACAGTTACCATGAGAACTTCCAAGTTCCAAAAATTCAAATAAAAATAGAATTTTACAAATTAAAAAAAATACGATTTATGTACACAGTGGAATTAGCTCACGTTACCTTGTAAACAAACAGTGCAAACAGAAAGGAGGCGGCTGCGGAGGAGGGACGCCCAAGGTCAGCAGGGCTGAGGGCGGCACTGCATGTCAATACGGAGGGCCAAGTGGCCTTTCCTGAAGCCTCCTTGTTACCAGGGGCCCAGTCAGCACACAATCCTGCATCAGAACTGTCACGTGGTTGTCTGGGCAAGCAAGATTCCATTCCCATCAGGGCAAACAAGGTCGTGCGTGAGCAGAGATCCCCCAAAGGGCAAAATTCCGCCAGGACTGGAGACCTGTCACCCCACTGCCTCAGCTAGGGAGCCCCAAACACCAGGCCAGAGGTGGAGCAAAGAAGAGCCCCTCTGGTGACCTGATTCCCCCCTGCAGATGCCTTATCCAGGTGCCAGCTCTGGGCGAGGCGGCTGCAGGGCTGTTAACAAGTGAGACTCTATGGGCGCTGGTTTCTACTGCACAGAAATCCAAGGAGCAAGGCTTACGATTTCTGGTCACAAGTGGAGAAGTTGTCATCTTTGGGCTTTTCTGAGAGGGGCAGGTGCAGACAGGAGGAGTCCAGGAATCCACACACCTTTAGGGGGCCTGGGCTGGGGGCCTCCTCGGTGGCCAGTGACTGGCTCAGGGCGAGGGAGGCGTCTGCACTCTACTATCTATTTCTGGGTTAAACTTATCAACAGAACAACTCGATGTGCTCAAGGGATGAAGTCCAACAGTGGCATCCAGACAGCCTCAGTGAGGCAGATGGCTGGCGGCTCAGCCCTTGAGGCCTAGGGTCCCCACACTGGGCAGGGCAAGGGGGTGAGGGTCCTCTGACAGGCGGTGACTTGGTTCTCCTGCCTTGGGCAACTGGCTTAATAAAACCAGTTCTCAGTAAAAGGAAAAAACAGGGTCAAGCTCTGAGCAGCACAGTACAAAGCTGCAACCGGATGAACGCACCCCCTGAAAAGCGCTCTGAGCTCCTGAACTAGTCACTGGGAGCGTCACCCCAATGCACAAGCCTGCGTCCAGAGATGCTGCAAACAGAGAAGTCAACATCATTTTGGTCAAAAGGATAAACAAATGGGCGACTGGAGGGCCACAGGCCTTGGTCAGTTGGAAAAGGCCCTGAAGCCCAGCTGCACACATAGAATGATTCTCTAGAATGGACGGGGCATGAGGCCGGCCAAGCCGGGAGTGACACCATGCCCAGGCTGCAAGAAGCCAGGCCCAGGGCACCGAAGCCATGGGGCAATTTCATGGTTTAAAAAACACTAAATGCAAATGAACGCCATCTCGAGTCCCAAACAACAGCTGCTAGAGGGACACCTGATGGGACCAAGATGCCAAAAGACATGTAGAAGTTGGAGAAAGATGGGTGCCAACGTCCCACCCAGATCTTCACTCTGGGTCCTGGAAGAGCAGGCAGGGTGCTTCCTCTGGTCACCACTAAAGCCTTCAGGCACCTGCAGGTGGGAAGCACCTCCCCCGCCCCACCCCTGCAGCACAGCAGACCCTGCTGAGCCCCTGTCCCTGAGCCCCTCAGGAGGATGGCGAGGTTGGCAGCAGGAGAGTGAGATGACCGTGAAGGGGAGACACCTCCTCCTGCAAGCAGCCCCTGCTTCCCCCTACAGGAGCCTCTGAGGGACTGCCCTCTCAGGTGGACTTCTTGCCAGCTCCAGGAATAACCTACTCCCCGGGGCTCCAGGAAGAGGGTTAGTCTGGGGGGCTCTGGTTTTGATTAACTTTGAGGGTGAGTCAAGACTGAGATGGGGCCCGCTCATCAGGGAGATGGAGAAAAAAAACTTAGAAAATCTAATAAATGGTGGAGATGAAAGGATAGGAGACTGTTAGGGGACAAATGTGGCCTGGAAGACCTGGAGCAATCTGCAAATGGAGAGACAGGGTGGGGTCAATCTGACCCTGTGACTGGACTCTTCATCTCCAGCTACAGTGTTCCCAGAGGGCAGGTTCTAAGGAGAGAGCAGAGCACCTGCGCATTCCCGAGGAGCACACAGGTTCCCTTAGATGAACCAGAAGACATCAAGTGAACAGTCCCAAGGGAGGAGGATCGAGTGAAGAGACCCAACAAAGTGGCCCCTGAACACGGGGAATCTTCCGGGTGCCCGATTCCTAAACTTAGTAATGAACCTGATTTTGCAAATGGCATCCCCCGGGTGCGCCTCGACCCACGCTCTTCCCAGAGGACTAAGGCAGCAGCTGGGCTGTCCAGGAAAGCAATGTGGGGCAAGAAACTGCTCCACGCGTCCCCTGGGGATCCAATCTGACTTCCCCCTCCAGTCCTGGATCTCTTGGGGCCGAGGCAGGCCTGTGCCAACATGGGCAGGAACACAGGGAGCAGGAAAAAGGAAGGTACTTGCTGAGGAAGTCGGGAAAGTCCACACTCTGATGGTTCAATGTCATCCCCAGGACCTCTGACCAGCAAAGCGTTCCACGAGACCCGGTTC